CAAGACCAAGCAGAGAAGAGGCTGCTGGGACCTTTAGGGAGCAGTAGGGCCCCAACCCTGGTAAAATGTGAGCCCTGAGTCACTCCACGGCGATGCCAAGTCAGCTTAAGAGGGGCCCAGGGTCCTGCTGTCCAGGATGCCTGGGACTGCCATGCTTCTAGCTTTAGATTTTGCACAGAGTCAAACCTTTTATTCATATATCGTACACGTCAATCTATCCAGAACTCCTCTTCTCACTAATCTTTGTACCTGGCCTGCCTACCTGGCCTGCCTCCTGGAGCATCATAAGCTGAATCCAAAAGTTCTTCCCAGGTCAGTGATACTAAGCCTCATCTTTTGGGATCTGGCTGCTGGGTGTGGAAACACAAGCTACTTTCTAAAGTCACCGGAGAGTCTATCTCCCCACTCTGTACCATCTTTAGGACAATGATGGTCATCCTTTCATGGACATCAATATTCCTGGAACTGGGGAACATTGAATATAGTTATATGAAGCCCTCTGTGAATTCAGTTTATTAATTTAAACTTTTCATTAAATCTTCTAATTTTGTAATAAATTACCAAGGTAAAATATATGGTTTAATAATGACATGATCCAAGACATAGATCATTGCGATTTTCACTTATACTTTTGCAACATTCTTCTTTGTAAAATTCTTGTATATATTCTCCCCTCCCCTCACTCTCCTCCCCTCCCTTCTCTTCTCTTCCACCCTCCTTTTCTTCTTCAAAAACTCTATTTAGTGTCTGCTTTGCATCTTATATGGAACTAAGCTCCGCGATGCCGAGACAATGAGAAACACAAAAGTTTACAGTCAAGTCAGGAAAGACAGACATGAAAATAAATGACTATAGTCACATGCACCAGGGGCAGAAGGGAACATGTGTCCAGCACACAGGCATAGGCTATGCATGAGGGATGGTGAGGTGGCAGGAAATCTCTCCTAGAGTCAGAACTGAAAAACCAAGATGGATCATATCCTAGCTGGAAAGGCAAGGAATTATGATAGTATTAATACCACAGTAGCATTTTCCTTGTTCTTTAACTTGCATCTTTGAATGAAAGAATTATAAGCTGCTTAGGTTTTGATCACAAATAAGAAGTATAGTTCTTAATGTCCATTCACTTAAAGACAATAACTACTTCATTTGGTAAGACATAGACATAATAATTTTGTCAACTGATAAAATAACAAACACATTTCAGGGAAATTAAAGTTTTTATTACAAGGTTGTATACATGTATTCTGGATCAAGAGCAGGCCAAATAGCTCAGTGACTAAAGCTCCTGCAAGTAGGCTCAGGGGCTGGCCTTTGATCTCCAGGCCTGCTGTGTCAGTCCTGCCCCCGAGGTGCACTGAGACTGTGATTGAGACTGGGAGTGGTGGCACGTACCTCTAATTCCAGCTCTTGGGAGACTGTAAACAGGAGAATTACTATGAGTCCAATCTAGTAATGAGACCCTGAATGCCCTGTAGACCCTTCCCTAAAATATAGAAAAAAATAAAAAATAAATGTATTCTGGATCAACTGAGACACACAGTTTCAGGGCTGCTTGGTGAGAATCCCGGCAGTGAAGGAAGGTTCAGTTGAGACAAAAGTAGGAGGGAAGGCTTGCCATGAAAGGGATGCATGTCTGGCCAGTCCTGGAACAGTGGAGAGTGGGAGTCTGTGGTGTATACCTCTGGTGGGGACCCTCCCATTGTACCCCAATTATCTAAGACAGGCCACTTCTCAGGAACCCTTCAATATGCTTGTAAAATAAACACTGGTTGGACCTCTGTGTTAAGTTGTAAGAACCAGGCCTCGATGAGTGGATGCTTATGAGGCATTAAGAAAAAAAGCAGAACAGGGGCAAGATAACACCATTTTGAAGTTCAGAACCCTTGGATTTATGGCCAAAAGGAGCCAAGCCCTGGTCCTGTCACTTTCAACCCTGGTGATTCTGAGCAAATGTCTTTAGCATCACTGAGCTTCCGTTTTCTCAGATACAATACTAGACTATGACTATTTAGTTAATTGGGAATATTACAACAGCAAAATAGCCACAAAGAAAGAACATGGTTAATAGAAATGTAGTTTCGCGTATCCATAGTTTATACGGAGACATACAGTGCTCTACCAGTCCCCTTAAATAATCATATATGGAGTAGTTTTAAAATCGTAAGTCATTTGAGGGTGCTTCACCCCAAGCCCAAGAGCCACACAGTTAGCATGTGGAAGCCACTCAAGACATTGGCAGTGACCAGCACCACATGGGTTGAGTTGGCGCCCTGAACAGACAGGCACAGCCAGTAAAGAATTGGTTCAACTCTTCTTAAGTAGTGAAACAAGAAAACATTTTGTTTCAGTGGGATGCACCTATTCGTCCAAGCTCAGTTTTGAAAACAGAGCAGTTCTTCAGTGATGTTTGGGTTAAAGCAGAAGTCAGTAGACTGTCTGAAGCAGCTAAAATTAATTCATGTTAAAATATTTTAAAATATTAGGAGAATGATTCTTCTGTTCCATGAGCAGAAATGATCATCAGCTATCCTGTCTTAAAGAATCTTGAATTTAAAACATCTGTAGATTTGCCCTCTTGTTTTTTCTTTTTTTAACATATATAAGCACTGTTATGATCAGTAAAATAAATGAACTGAAAGCAGAGTAGCCTAAGACCAAGACAAGAGAAGCTGTGCTCTTCCAGGCAGCGTTCTACACACTGTAGGAGTATCGGCTTCATCTACTCCTTGTGCTTGGTGATCAATACCCATTTCAGATAGGAAACCTGAGGCTTAGAGGGTCTCTCACTTGTCCAGAGCTTTCTTCTACCTTTCATTCAGCTGCTAAGTGACAAAGCAAGGATTTGAACCAGTCCTGCAGGAGTTTCTTTGCTACACTGTCTCCCTGCTTGGTTTTAATTTGTTGAGGTAGATTATCAAATTATAAATCAGCCTCCCACAACCCAGTGCTACTCCTGGTCATCCAATAGGATGGGCCACCCATGTAGGACGAAATGCCTGTATGAGGTGCAGGTGTGGCTTCACCAGCACTTGAGGACCACACAAGTGCCCATGGAAGTCTAGAGTCCATGATGAGCACTCTGTGTCAAGGGAGGTGATGGAGATGCCTTCCTGAACTCTGTGATGAAGGCTGACCTAGTGGGGCCTTAGAAAGATGTCCCGAGCTTAACCAGCAGGAGGCGCTCTGCCTCCAGCAGGCTTGCAGTGCCCATTGGTGTTTTCTTCTTCGCGTGCATCAGAAAGACCCGCTTCAGGAAGGAAAACATTCTCCTCTGATCCTATGTTTTCAAATAATACTTCGATGTTTTCCCTTTCAGTACTACTTTTGCTAGTGCACTCTGTGCGTTTCCTCCTGAACTAGCATGAGAAGCCTGTATGTGAGGAAGTACAAGGGCCCTGGCCTGGCCCTCCTGTGTGCTTCTGTGGTCCAGAGCTCCCAGAGCTGGGCCCATGTGGCCTTGGCCTAGTGGGGTTGGGATGTGGTCAGGCTCACTGCATCTGAACCACAGAGGCAGCCGCAAGGCTTGTGCTCCGGAGCAGTGTCTGTCCATTTGTACACATCGGGGAGTTCACTTCATTGCTTTGTTAATGCATAGAAAAGGAGGCCTTGTATTGGCCTAGAGAGAAAGCCTGGGATGTTTATGCGGAAATTCTAACTGTGATGTGCGTTCCCTCTCATGGTGTTGCTACCAGTAATTCAGAGAAAAAGAAAGGCGGTTCTGCCATCTGCTGGTAATAATGAAGCACAATAACGTGAACACTTTCTACTGATTGTAGGCAACTAGAGCGTGTGAGGCTTTACTTTGGTTTTACTCCTTTCTCTTTTTTTTCCTCTCACAGAGACACACTCATATACCTATGCCTGGAAATCTTTAAGACATAGTAGACGATGCGCATTACTAATACTGAATCTGTGTTCTTAAAATAATGTGCCAGAAACAGTCTTAAGGTCCATGTATATAAATTATGCATACATGTGTATAAGTACATGTGACATATGTACAACATATATATTGGTACTTACAAACTATCTGTGTCAATCATTTTAGAATACACTCTTGTCTCCATGGCGCCTAGGGCTTAGAAACTTACGCAAGACGCACACAGCCAGGGGCCGGGGAGTTAGTCTGTGTTTGCCCACCAGCCGACTCTGTCCTAGGTGAACTGTTTCCTGGGTGACCTTGGAGGACTTCATGTTTTGGGGCTGATTGAGACTCACCTTTAAGAACTAAGTGGGAGTTTGGCATGGTAGAAAGAGATAAGAACGGGTCTCTAGTTAACAACATATACAGTTGGGAATCAATAGTATTTTTATCTCTAGTTCAACCATTTGCGAGGTGAAGCCACTTAGCCATGTTCTTGAACTGGATCTCACTTTACTCAGCTGTAAAACTGAGGTGCTAGCATACGCCCCCACACTCCACAGAGGTATCATGAAGATATCTGGAAACACTTGAAGTGTTACATAAACATTCAGCAATTATTTTTTTTTTCACACTGCCACACTTAGCTTTGGAAGGCTGAGCTAAGACTTTATCACTCCACGTCCAGGGTCCTCTTCATTCATCTGTGCTATATTAATACATTTTTAGAACACATCCTATACATATCTGCGTTAGCTCCTCTGAGAAATGAGAATTGCTCTACTCCACCTTGGAACAGGACCCCATCAATACTTTCACAAAGACAGCATTACTCCCAAAGGGAATCCACTTCTCTTTTCCTTCAAACTGAGGCAGGAATACATTTTTCTTTTTTTATTTATATATGTGTGATACACAATAAGTAATTCATCCTGGGAAATTGTTTTCCTTCCTGCCTAGGAGACTAGAATCCTGCATTGTAAATAAAGGTCAGCTCCGTGGTGTAGACCTGTCCCTCTCACTGAGAAACTGAGTTTGTTGGGAGTTTCTGGTCTGAGTATTCTGTTTTATTTCTGGTAGCTCTACTGGAATGAAGATGGTCCTTCCCTAAGTGTTCACCCCTTGTTATTTACAGAAGAAGACTGCATAAGCTGGGCGTGTCCAAGGTCACGCAGGTGGACTTCTTGCCCCGGGAGGTGGTATCCTACTCCAAAGAGACCCAGACTCCTGTTGCTACACATCAGTCTGAAGGTAAGCTAAGGTTTTTGTTAACTTTCTATATTATCTCTGAAGAAACTGCCAGGGAGTAACAGCATTCTCACTGATTTCATATCCTATCCTATGTGATCTTTGTGAGATATAGACACACAGATATCCTAGTTAGATCCCACTGTGTTGAAATTATATGAGAAGAAAATTCATCAAAAGTGAAAATCCTCAGAGTACTGTGTAACAGCTTTACAGAGGAAAATTCATCAAAAGTGAAAATCCTCAGAGTACTGTGTAACAGCTTCCATGCGGCATCAAGAGGAAGCGTAGGTTAAAATTCACTGTGTGCAGGTGTCAGTGAGCCACAGTCTGCTACCTATTTCTAGAATTAGGGTTACTGAGATAAAGCTGTGACCTCTACAACTACCTGCCTGATTCAGTGTTAGTTAAGTAGCAATGGAAAAGATTTTGTGACTCACAAAGCCTAAAATCTGTAATCTAGTCCTTTATAGAAATTTTGCTGATCCCAGATTTGCTTGGCCACTTCAAACAACACAGAATTTCTACCCTTAATTTACAAATAGTTCCCTACAAGCTGCACATAGGTGCGTGGGAATTGAACTCGATACCATCTTTGTGCAAAGCAGAAAATATCAAGTGGAGAATCCACATACAAATCTCAGTGAATCTCAAAATGACACCACGGAGAGAAGCTGAAGCTGATAAGTCAGAATGCTTCCTGGAAGTAAAACTTACTTTGAGAATTACATGAAAATAAAAGTGAAAGATGTGTATAGTGTGAATAGGATAAGTGAAAGTTACACTGCTAGAGGGTCAATTGATATAGCAAAGCAAATTCCCTAACTTTATGTGAAGTTATTATTTAGGGTAGCAAAGGAGAAATTAGAATTCTGGGTTCATTGGTGTTAAGAGTTACACACTAAACAAAATCCCAAATAATGAAACATGGTTAGCATTTACTGCCTGTTTTTTGTTGTTGTTGTTGTTGTTGTTGTTTGTTTGTTTGTTTGGGGTTTTTTTGAGGAATATAAATCAGTGCAGCTTGGTTTGTGTGAGCTACAGAGATTTTTAATTTTAATTCTAAACACATAATACCAAAAGCGGAGTGAAATCTCAGTCCTTGGAATCAGTGCTGCTGTAGGAGTGACCATACTTTTCCTCCATAAAGACCCAGAGACAGGTTCGGGGTGGCCTGTCCTGTTCAATCCCTGTAGTGAGGTGAGTTTCAGAAACTAACAAGTAGCGCCCTCTGGTGGTGACATTTTAGGCATCCCAATCCACAACCCTGAGACCTATTACTAATGAGGAAGAAAGTACAAAGTCAGAAAAGCCTTAGGGAGCTCTATCCTTGGGCTTCCAGACAAGAACAGAAAAATCATTAAAAAACAACTTCACCACCCAACCTAAACATTTGTTTGAGTTAATTTGCTGCCAGAGGTATTTGCAGAGCTGCAGCCAGAGGTATGTTTATTTAGCCCAAAATTTGACCCATAACATAAAGTTATACAACTGAAATAAGAGAAGGAGTGAATTTCTTTTTACATGTGTATACTTAGGATATTGGAAATGGTACAGAAATATTTACAAGAGAAGATAAATTAAGGATGAAAAGGCATCAGCTCTAAACTTTTAAACTGTAACACATCAAAAAGAAAAGCCCGTACATTTCATTTTATTACTGCACAGAGAGCTGGGGAGCCCTCATTATGCTGTGGTCCAAGCAGCAGGAAAGAAGGAATTTATTTCTCAGCTATTGGCAGTAGTTATTTCTGTTTTGTTAACAAGACCCGTAGAGCTTTCTTGTGGTGGTGGGCGTTTAGGTGGTTCCAATTCCACCACACAGATTTGAACCCAAACCTGGCTGTCATAGGCATTGACATGAAAACCATGCCTGGTGGATTCAGACAGGAAAACCTTAGGTGTGGGTTCGGCCAGTTGTCCTGACACCCAGGTGACGCCTGACCTTAGGCTGCCTGTAGTGGCTCAGCTGCCTGGCCGTCGAGGATGCCCAGTGCCCACCTTTCACCTGCTGTGTAAAGGTGCTTGACAGACAGGGTGGGAGCAGCTGGCATCGAGGGCCCACCATGCAGCAGGGCTGAGCTGGCTCTCGGTTTGGGATCTGAGCCATGGCATGGTTTTTATGACAACAGCAGCTTTCAGCTGCAGGAAACAACTAACTACTGAATTTCATGGTACAGTGAGATAATTGCATGGATAATATTTGAAGCATATATATGTATATATATTTACATATATATACATATATATATACATATATATATATATATATATATATATATATACCCACTTTAGCTCTTCATTCTCCAAAATATATATGAATACTTGATTGTTATTTTAAGTCACTGTTCAACTGGAAGCTTTAATCCTATTCAAGCTAGTGATTTCAGGGCATCAATTTGTTTTGCCTCTTGTAAGGAGTTCTAGTGTACTCATTTGCCTGTGTATTTCTCATTTTTATCTTTTAAGATAGCCTGGGTCTGCGCAATACTTAGTCTCCTTTCCTGCTTGTGCACGGCAACAAATATTCTCACCACAGAATTTAGGCTATGAGAAATATTCCAAAGAATGATTTCAACTGGGAAGATTTAGGAATGAAGTCCTCCATGAATCTTGCTCTTTCAAATATATCAGACCCTCCTCATCTGTTCAGGTCATTAAGTTGCAGGGAAAGAAGCCTTAGAGTAGAAAAGCTGATTTGAAGCAGGAGATCTCTACCTCTATAACATTGTAAACATGTGGTTTCTATTTCCAAGTAGTAGGGAAAGAAAAAAATTATGGTTCCCTGCCAAGCTGTCTCTGCTTCGCCTATTATTGATATTTTCCCTGGACTGTCCTTGAGATCCTGAGGTTACAGAGCCACGTTGATTACAGTAACTGACTGCTGTCAGCAGAATCCCCCAAAGGCTGTGGAATGACAAGGATGATGCCAGGCATCTCTAACAACTTCAGGTTCTGCACAGTCCTGGGGGAAATGAGGATTTCTTAACCTGCTGGAAAAATGTCAATCAAATGAGAAGAAAGAAGAGGGAAACTTCTAGAAAGTGTGGGTGGTTCTGAGAGCTCTCTGAACTTCCTCTTCTCTTCCTGGTCTTGTGAGTAGGAACTTGGTGCTGTCACCTTGGCCAAGCCCTCTGCTTCTCTTAGATGCTTTGTTTCTTACATCCAAGAAAAACCCTAGCTAGGCTTTCTTGCACTAGCACACGCTGTGTCCCTGGCTGGATGCTCCTCTCCTGGGGGCTTCCTTCAAGAGTGTGCTTACGTCTCAGCTCCCTAGTTTTTCCTCTTCTGGCTGGCATCCCTCTTCACATGCAGGCATAATCTGTTCTTCCTTGTCACACTGGATAGCATTATTATGTGCACGTCTTTCCTCTTAGGCTGTGGTCTCCTTCAGGGGAAGGTCTGTGTTCTTCACCTATGCGCCCAGCACAGAGTTCAGCTCAATAGAGGTGCTCAATGGACACCAAAGAAGAAAATGCAAAGCGAGATGATACTATAGGGAATAAGAATGAGGAAGCAGAATGACTCCCTGCATGTCACGTCACATGGAGTGTGATTCATGCAACCAGTTTGCACTGATTTTTTAGATGAATACAAAAAAGCCTTTATAAATGGCCAAGTTTCCCTGGTGAGGGGAAGTTCTGTCTCCATTTCAGCCTGGCCTCTTGCGCAGCCCCTAGGCTGGTGCAAACATCAGCTGCTACCTTTGACTACAACACTGAGGGGAACTGAAGAAGAACATTACAAAAGCAGCCTGGGCTGGCTCTGAATAGAGGAGTTTTAAATGTGCAGAGATGCTCTGTAGAGTACTTTGTGTTTGGAAGGCATGCATAAGAAATGGACACTGGCTTCCCATCTTCTCTGGTGTATGCTTACTTCAGAAACTGTAAGCAAAGATATGATTGTAGAAAGGGAGTTAGAATAGTCTAGCCCAGTAGTGTTTGATAAAAATTTGTTGTTCAATATCCAAATTCAGATACAAAATTCTGATTAGAAATCCTTGAGCCAAGAGCCAGCCTGATAGCTCAGCGAACTAAAGTGCCTGCTTAGGCAGGGCACAGCGGCTGGGGTTCGATCAATTGAGACTGGGTGTGGTGGCACATGCCTGTAATCCCATCTCTTGGAAGGCTGAAAACAGGAGAATCACTACAAGTCAAATCTCCATAGTGATACCCTGTAGATCCTGTAGACCAGTCCTAAATATGGGAAAAAAAGAAAAAGAAATCCTTGAGCCATAACTGGATTTCATAAGCTTTACAATACAAAAAGTAGATTCATATAATACTATTATTCCAATCTTATTAAAAGCTTTCCAATAATTGAATTGAACGTCAGCTATTGAATTTAAACTTAAATTGATTGCAGTTGAGTAGGAGTGAAGATACGATTCAGTTGCATTTGCAGTCAGTCAAGGGATCCGTGATGCATGGCTGGCACCTGCGGGCCCTGTCTAGGGTTGCTCAGGTCTCTCAGAACCCACTGCTTTACAAATTCAGAAGCTCAGACCCACAAAGGCAGCCTGAGCTCTTGGCCTCATTGTGTCTGGGCAGAGGGTCTGGGGTGAAAAGACTTCCCCAGCTTATAAGGAACCCCGCTGTGTGAATGACGGCACTGTGGAGTCGCCCTGCTTTTACGGCATCCACCTCATGCAAGCAGGCATTAGATCCTGGACGGCAACAAAGTTGTACCGCTAGGTGGGCAGCTGCAGCCACCTTCCTCCTGCCGTCACAGAGCAGGGCAGCCTTGGGTTTGCCCTTCAAAGCCCCTTAGTGCTGTCTTCCTGCAATGAAAAGGCTCCCACAGCCCAGGCTTCATTTCTTAGTCTGCTGTTTCCATCTCTGCTGCTTCTCCAGATGACATGATGAGAGATCAAAATTCACATCGAATTCTGAACTGCTGAAAGTTGACTTTCAAGTTTTCTCATATCTGTTGCCCTTACAAGTACAATTCTTTGATTTGAAAAAAAAATGCCAAATAAGGTTATTTTCCAGAGAATCTAAATA